CGAGAGGGCACAGGCCGGGCTGAGGGACTCCCCCTTCCCCCCTGAGTGCACAAATTTTTGTGCACCGGGCCCCTAGTAAGTATATAATTGAATATGTTTTAATAAGTAATGGTCCAATATCTATGAGAAATTGGGAAGCAAAACTAAGGACATTTTGTATATCTATAGATATTTTTTACTTATTTTCATTTAAAAATATATTTTTATTAATTTCATAGAGGAAGTGAGAGGGAGAGAGAGATAGAAACATCAATGATCAGAGAGAATCATTGATCGGCTGCCTCCTACATGCCCAACACTGGGGATCAAGCCCACAACCCCGGCATATGCCCTGACTGGGAATCGAACCATGACCTCCTGGTTCATAGGTGGACACTCAGCCACTGAGCCACACTGGCCAGGGCTTATAGATATTTTTAAAATAACTTAAAACATTCTTTTCAAACATGGCTTTTTTATTTTATTTTATTTTTAAATATATTTTATTGATTTTTTACAGAGAGGAAGGGAGAGAGATAGAGAGTTAGAAACATCGATGAGAGAGAAACATCGATCAGCTGCCTCCTGCACATCTCCCACTGGGGATGTGCCCGCAACCCAGGTACATGCCCTTGACCGGAATCGAACCTGGGACCTTTCAATCCGCAGGCCGATGCTCTGTCCACTGAGCCAAACTGGTTTCGGCATGGCTTTTTTATATAAGTAAATATTTTTATACCTGAAGCTTATCCTTTATCAAACTGTGTATCTGAATATAATTTAACTTTATCATCATAAGTGGGAATCACTGAGAATGTAGTCATTTTAGTTTCTTCAGATAGTCTGAAACTAAACACATTTGTCCTTACATTAAATGGCTTCAGACTGCTCTGTGTGTGTGTGTGTGTGTGTAATGATTTTGCTATACTGATATTTTCTCTTTTCAATGGTCAACTTTAGCAGTTATTTTTTTCTTCCTACTTTGTTGGTTTTAATATAGTTGTTCTCTTATTCAGTAAAGACTTGAAGGGTACTTGGGAAAACCAGATATTTGTCATTTATAGAGGCAATTCCTTCCGGGAAATAATGACCATGAAGTTAGTTTATGACCACTCAGTATGGTTTTTTGGGAGATGTGCAGCTAGACCCATGGTTATATCTCAGATCACTGGAGTTACTTAGTATTTTGACTTAGCAGTGGCATTACTATAGTTAGTTTTATAGGTTAAAATTTAAAATCAGAACTGAAATGTTAAATAGTAAGGAACATATAGTTCTTTTTGTTTTTTTGCTTCACCTGACCAAATACAGTAAAAACTAAAAACCCAAGAGAAATGTTTACAGAGCAGAATAATAATAATAATGCTAGACTTTAAAGAATAGGCTACAGCCCAATGAGCCTTAAAAGTTTTAGGGGATAAAATAACAAATTAACTTTCTTATGAGGGTAGGGAGTTTTCCTGTGAGAACACAGAGGTGGTTCCTAATAGTTGAATATGGCCCCCAATCCTATTTTGGGGATGCTTATTCCTATTTTTTAGACATCCACATAATGTCTTTCATTTTTAGTCCTATTTTTAAAAAATATATTTGTATTGATTTCAGAGTGGAAGGGAAAGGAAGAGAGAGATAGAAACATCAATGATGAGAGAGAATCATTGATCGGCTGCCTCCTGCATGTCCCCCACTGGGGATCAAGCCCGCAACCTGGGCATGTGCCCTTGACCGGAATCGAAACTGGGACGGTTTAGTCCTCAGGCCGATGCTCTATCCACTGAGCCAAACCGGCTAGGGCTAATTTTATTTTTAAAAGAATGTTGATCAATAGTTGATAAAGATTATAACAGTTTAAAAATACACAGATTGAAAATAATCAGGGCATTTTCTTAGATTAAATCATTACTTATCTCTGTGTTTCCTTCCTGCCTTTAGGGTTTTCCTTTAAAAAAACATCAAGCCCAGATTGTGGCTCAGTGGTTGAGTATGGACCTATGAACCAGGAAATCAGGGTTTGATTCTGGGTCAGGGCACATGCTCAGGTTGCAGGCTTGATCCCTGGTGTGGGGCATGCAGAAGGCAGCAGATCAATGATTCTCTCTCATCATTGATGTTTCTATCGCTCTCCCTGTTCCTTCTGCTCACTGAAATCAATAAAGAAACATAAAACATTTAAAAAAAAAGAAAGAAACCCCAAAACCTGATGTCACAATTTCCAAGTATAATAAAACTGTATGCAGACTTTGTTACAGAGAGTTGAAAGTCCCCATTTGCTCAGCCTCTAGTTATTTTTTCTTGCTGTCGAAGTTAAAGCTTCAAAATTAGCTATAGTTTGGGTGTAAAACCACAAAGTCACTTTTCCCTCCTAAGGACATTGTAGCCTAGTTCTTTGTGGTTTTACTTGATTAGATCACTGATACTAATTTCAGTCTTGTACCATTTCGGTCAGCCATGTATGTTTTCGAGATGAGAACAGAGAGTGCCCCCTCTATGTATTTTCCATTGTCTGCTCTCTTCATGATTGCATTGATGATCATTTTTATTAGATTGAACGCAATTCTTTACCTGTAGTTATAGTTTTTGGCAATTTCTCTTATAGATTTGGAATGTTAAGATTCGGTCAAAGTAAGGCAAGAAAATGTACTATTTGGACAGGCTAAATTTTTGAAATTCAGTACTACTGTATATAATACAGTTTAATTTTAAAAAATAGTTTTATTCATGAATTAGTAAAATAAATACTTTTTATCCTCCATTTTTATTTTTAACTTTTTTTTTTTTTAAAGTCCACAGATGCACTTTTGGTGGCAATCGACTCTGAAGTAGTGGGAGCTGTTGATATACTACTTAATCATCGACCAAAACGATCATCAAGACCAACTATAGTAGTTAGTACTCTTAAATGTTTATTAATTTGGATTTTTAAATAAAAATAAATCTCCTGCCCCATTGCCATCTTTTTCTTCCCCCAAATTTATTTGTCTTAAGGAAATAGATCTCTTTTACTCTGTAAAATATTGCTTTAAAGTCAGTAGACACTTGCAAGAATAATATTGTTTTCAGGAAACCTTTTTAAAATTAATGATATTTCCATAATTTTGTCAGTATGGACCAGTACTTTTAGTTTGGAACATTCTGCAGGTTAAGTTGAAGATACAAATTAGTTTCCACATGAATTTAATAATTAAATGTAAACAGTAAAACCATAAAACTGGAAGAAAATGTAGGTGAATGTTTACTGACTGGGAGTAGAAGGATGTTCTAAGCATAAAAGCAATGGCTGTTTAGAAGTTACATTTCTGGAATTCGGTCATCAAGCAAAATTTAGAAAGCAGGTGGATAACTGGCAAAAGATATTTGCAGCATATATCAGAAGTTCATAATCTTAATATTAGACAAATTGATGAAAAACACCAAAATCAGAAAGGACACGAAAAAACTCAGAAAAAAAATATAAAATACTAAACCTTACTTATAATCAAATACAAGATACTAATATTTACTTATCAAATTAACCAAGATTTTAAAAAATAATAATCACTGATGCAAGGGAGTAGTCTAGTCTCCTACATCATTGGTTAGGAGGGTGTTTTGAATAGCACTTTGGCAGGATGTGTCAGAAAAAGGAAAGATGTTCATATTATTTTTAAAAAAAATATATTTTATTGATTTTTTACAGAGAGGAAGGGAGAGGGATAGAGAGTTAGAAACATCGATGAGAGAGAAACATCGATCAGCTGCCTCCTGCACACACCCCACTGGGTATGTGCCCACAACCAAGGTACATGCCCTTGACCGGAACCGAACCTGGGACCTTTCAGTCCACAGGCCGATGCTCTATCCACTGAACCAAACCAGTTAGGGCTGTTCATATTCTTTTACCTAGTGCTTTCTCCTCTAGGAATTTGCCTATGAAATGGTCAGAAATGTGGATAAAAATGTTAATTGTAATCTTGAAGTAGTGAAAAAACCTAAATATTTTAAAATTGAAGGTTGGAAATATAAATAATGATGTATATATTTAAATGGCACTTTTTAAAGAATATTTAGGAACACGGAAAAATAAAACCTAGGAAGTGACAAAAATGAGAATAGTAAACTGTATGTGTAATATGATCCAAGGTTAAAAATATGCATACAAAAGGAACTGTGTGGAAATGTAGCAAAATGTTACCTAGTGGTAGCCATCTTATTGCCAAATTAAGGATTTTTTTTTTTACTCTTTTTATTTTTCTTTATTGCTTTTGTAATTAGGAAGATATTCATTAACAGTCAGATAAATTATGTCTTTAAAATGAGATATTGGTTGCATACAAAAATTTTAAAATTATATTACTTATTATTGGTGAGGATGTAGTGAAACAAGCAAACTGCTGGAGTGTAAACTGGCTATACTCAGAAGAAAAGTATTAAGAAATAATTATAAATTGCTTGTAGATTATCTGGCATTATCTGAGAACAACGAGAAACTGCTAAATTGCATACTTTATCATGTATTAGCTGAAATATTCTACTCAAATCTAGACTATTAAAAAGTTTGTGTGTGACTTTCTCCAGAGGATGGTATGAACTAGTGTAACTGGTGATAAGAAACCACAGGAATAGAGAAAAAAAAGGGTTAAGAATATAGCCCTGTCCAAAGGATCAGAAATATCTATAATCCTGTTCAATTTTCTGTCATCTATCCTGCAGTTACTGTTCTATTTTGGTATACCTATTCCACTTTCTTGTATTTAAACCCATTTACTTTCTTGGCGGGGAAAGGAGGTGTGCCATGCAGGTTATTGGAGCAAATGACTGCTATTATTTCATCACCATGACTACTACCAATTGAATCTTGTGTTGCAAGGCTGTGGTAGTCTTCACCTGCTCAGTAAAAGAACACTTTCTACTTTATTGCTAACAAACAAGCGTTTGCTTGAATTCTTCCAGCGACAGCAAGGTCAAATTTTAATAGCCTATTACTTCTAGACAGGCATTGTCAAATATTTTCCATATATTTTTTAACCATTTCAGTGAATTCATTATTGGCTTATCAAAATTGTCTTTTACTACATTTTGACTTTCATATACAGAGGTTTTTTTTAGCATGTTGATTATATTAACAATGAAATTATGAACTTTTAGCTATGTCTTTGAGTGTTTTCATATAGTTAAATGTTTCATAGGAAAAATGACCATTTTTCTCTTAAGGGACTGAATATAACCTCCTTTTTAAAATAATATGTTTTTATTGATTTTTAGAGAAGAAGAGTGGCCGAGCTAATTTTCTCCTTTTTATAACCAATAATAGGAGGGGAAAGGGCTAAGTTCTTAGATTTCTGTGGAATTTTAAATAAATTTATTAATTTGAAATCCCCACGAAATAAATAAATGGCAAGTATATAAAAGAGGGCCAAAATGGGATATGTACGTTAGAAAATATTAAAATTTACTAGTAATCAAAGGAAAGTAAATATTTCATGATAGTGTTTTTTATTCATAAACTGGGAGTGATCATACTGGTGAGTAAACCTTAAGAGTGAAATGAGTACATTCCTATATTATTGGTAACATAAGCTATTAAAGGACTTTGGTAATATTTATCAAGAGCTTTAAAGCTGTTTGTGGCCTTCTGATCTATAATTCCATGTCAGGGGTTCTATGTTAATGAGATAATCCTAAATTTTTTTTTTAAAGCTGTATTCGCCCAGCTGGCATAGCTCAGTGGTTGAACATCAACCAGGAGGTTACAGTTTGATTCCGGGTCAGGATTCATGCCTGGGTTGTGTTGTGGGCTATACCCCCAGTGGGGGACGTGCAGGAGGCAGCTGATCAATGATTCTCTCTCATCATTGATGTTTCTGTCTCTCTTCCCTTCTCCCTTCCTCTCTGAAATCAGTAAAAAATATACATATATAAATAAAAGAGCTGTATTCATAAAGATGTTTGTGGTAATGTTATTTAAATTAGCATAATAAAATGTCTTGAAAATACGGTCTATGAAATTCCTTACATTGAATGCAGGATTCTGTACATGATTTTTTTCCTGAAGATTCTGGGCTGTAGCTTTATGAGATTATTAAAAGTGTCCTTGATCTTTAAAATATTAGGGACCATTGTTTTAATTATTGATGCCAAATTATTTATGCCAAAGATAGACAAAGGCCCAGAAAGGAATACTATAAAATGGTTTTTGGGTAGTAGGAATTATGGGTATTTGTATTCTTTCTGTTTTTCTATATTTTTCAGATATTTTATAATGTGTGTGCACTACTTTTACAATGTTAGTAAAAATTATATAACAAACCGTGAACTTGATCAGCTAATACTACGGAATGAAACAACTCTCAGGGAAACCTCTATGGAAAAGTGAGAAGTAGTGGAAAGAATATGCAATAGTCATGAAATAGTCAACCTTCTTATTTAACCCTGATTCTTTTTTAAAAATATATTTTATTGATTTCAGAGAGAAAGGGAGAGGGGGAGAGAAAGATAGAAACATCAATGATGAGAGAGAATCATTGATCCGCTGCCTCCTGCACACTCCCTACTGGGGATCCAGCTCCCAACCTGGGCATTTGCCCTTGACCAGAATCGAACCTGGGACCCTTCAGTCCACAGGCTGACACTCTATCCACTGAGCCAAACTGGCTAGGGCAACTCTGATTCTTTATTTGCTAATGATTTTTCCTTCATGTCATGCCGTCATCAGCCCCATGAGCCCATGTAGTGAAGGTGCTCAGGCTCCAGAGTAATACAAATCTGGTTTCTGCTCTGCAGTTTGCCATTCTTTTGTTACCTCAGGCACATTAACTTCTCTGAGTCACAGTTTCTTCTTAGGATTTTACTGCTCAGTGCTGCAGGGTACTGTGGGAATTAAATGAGATGAAAAGTGTAAGGTGGCTATAGTAGCTATGATTGTTAGTGTTTTTAAGCATTTGTAACAGAAAGTAATAGAGGTAATGATTGAGAATATGTAGATAATTATAATAATAAAAGTGTAATATGCTAATTAGACCAGACAGCTGAACGACCTTCCGGATGTCCTTCCAGACGACCTTCCAGATCAAGCTGGGGCTGCGAGGGCCGAGGCATGCTGCCACGGCTGTGAGGGCCAAGCCCCTTGCACGAATTTCGTGCATCGGGCCTCTAGCACAAAATAAAGAGTGCCTCCTATTTACTTATCCCTTTTAAGTAGCTTCATTGCTATCAATGTGACAAGGTTTGCCACAGAGGTGGAATTTTTAAAGTTTTTCTCAAGCATTTATGGTCTGCTTATTTTTAACATTTCTGTTTTTTCATTTTATTCTTTTTTCTAAAATTCTTGTTCTTTATCCTTATGCATGTTTCCATAATCTTTTGAAAATTAAATACTTTTTCCTAATGTATTTCTCTAGATATCTTTTTGTTAGGAAAACGGAACTTTATTTATATGAATGTTTTCTATTGAAGATTTTGTTTGTCATTATTATATTACATTTATTAATTAAAATTAAGTTTTGAGGTTTCAAAAAAATTTCATCCTGGCAAAATGTTTATCTTATTCCTTATAATAATTATGTTCTTTGTGCTTTCCAATTTTTTTTTCATTTTATTCTTCAAATAATTGTTTTCTTGAAGTCACAAATAACTTTTGAATGTTTATATAAATATTTTTCAGAAACTAATGGAGCAAATTCAGAATCCTGAGTATTCAACAACTATGGACATTGCACCTGTCATTTTAGCTGCTCATCGTAACAACTATGAAATTCTTACAATGCTGTTAAAACAGGATGTGTCTCTACCTAAGCCCCATGCAGTTGGCTGTGAATGCACATTGTGTTCTGCAAAAAATAAAAAGGACAGCCTCCGACATTCCAGGTTAGAAAATTAAGATTTTTGACAAATAGATGTGTGATGCAGTAGGATACATGCCAATGAAATGTTTTATTGTTCTTTTTATGTAGCTTTTAAGAAATATGGTACTGGGATGACTTGTAAAAGTCAAACTTCTAGCTCCTTTGCTTAATACAATGAGTTCTGCATGTTTTAGAAATGTTTACTCAATGATGATTAGGAAACTTCTTCAAATTATGAATAAGATTTATTTCATACTCCTGCCTATGGGAGCTGGGGGCACTGTTTGCTTTTTAGAAATAGAGTTTATTAGTCTAAGAGAATTTCCAAGTAGTAGAAGGGATAGAGAGATACCACTTCCTATCCTTTTATAACAAAAATTGTTTACTATCTGACTAAATATTAACCTGTAATGCCTCTTACTTTCCCTCTCACATAGTACATATTTAAGTCTATTTCTCTTCCCGTTCTCCCCAGTTGAAAATAGAAAGAACAACTGAGGAATGAATAAACAAGAAAGTACCCTATCCTGGACAAGTTGAGTAAGGTCACACATGTTGAATAAGGTGTATGGTTCTGGGCCAGACTTGAGAACCATACAACTTTTCAGCATAAGCGCACACACATTTACTATGAAATATGTGGTCTGGAAGTCCCAGGCAGACTATTGACAAGCTGTTTTCAGTTAAGGATTATTGTACAGTGTATATGAAATTAGCTTTAAAACTGTAAAATATCCACCCTCTCTCTTTCCTCATCTTAAGAATTGATCTTTGGTGGATTGATAGTCACAAATCCATAAATTGGGAAAGTCTCTTGGAAATCAATTTAATGTGTATGTGCAGAGGTCAAACTGTCATTTTTCTATTTTCAAATCTATTTTACAATGAGGCCTATGTTTCTCTTTGATAAGATCTGGTTGACAGCTGACTATATTATTTACCTTTTTAGTTTTAAAATGACTAATCTGTGAAATGACAAGAAGAAATTATCTTTAAGGATCCTTCTAGTTTGCTTGTTAAATGTTTGTAGTTGAAGGTACTTGGGTGGCGGGTTGGGGCTGGAAAGAATGCTGCCTGGCTTGGTTTGGAGTGGCAAGAACACTGCCTGGCTTGTTCTGAAAGCTTGTATAGGAGCTGTGGCTTGAGTGCAGGTTTTAAGCCTGAATAAGAATTAAAAGGTAAAAGACATTTGATGCAGAAAGTACAATATGTGATTGTGGTTTATTAGGAGAACTGCAAATGGTTTGATATATTTGCAGAAGAGTTTGTAGGAAAGGTAAAGGTCCAAACTAAAGTCATTTTCAGGAATTGCTAAGTAGACCTGCAGAAGAAAAGGAGACTAACAAAACAAGTAAAATGAGATGTAAGATCAGTGAAGTTGAAGTCAATGTTAGCATTAAGAAAGTGAGGCAATCTGTGTTTTTAAATTTCAGATGGTGAAATTTCAGACGAGGATAAGTTCTGAGGCAGTGATGGCGAACCTTTTGAGCTCGGCGTGTCAGCATTTTGAAAAACCCTAACTTAACTCTGGTGCCGTGTCACATATAGAAATTTTTTGATATCTGCAACCATAGTAAAACAAAGACTTATATTTTTGATATTTATTTTATATATTTAAATGCCATTTAACAAAGAAAAATCAACCAAAAAAATGAGTTCGCGTGTCACCTCTGACACGTGTGTCATAGGTTTGCCATCACTGGTCTAGGGTCAGTAATTTTAAATGGGTTAGGGACGCATAATGGATCATTGAGTTTAGTAAACCATTTTCAGTATGTAATTGCTGTGATTTGGTTTTAGTCTCAAAATTTCAAATAACTTTAAGGGAGATTTGGAATCTTTATTTAAAGGAAGACAATTTCAAAAAGTTGAGAAACACTGAAATTGGGAGAGTTAGCAAAGTAGTGGACTGCCAGTTATATTTAATTTGCAGAAGGGTTTTGTTTAATCTGTACAATGTATTTTATAATTTTGAATTTGATGTCTCTAAGCCTTATGTACACTCAGTTTTACTCATGTTATTACCCACTTAGTCCCTGAAAACAATTGAATTTGTAAAACCTAGTACAAATCTCCCAAGAGAATAGGATGTTGACATTGAGAAAATCAGTGATCTATAATACTAATCTTAGGAATATGGAATTCTTTTATTAAAAAGTACATATTTTAGTTATACAAGTAATGTGTAAATAAATCCTTAAATCCTTGTAAAACTTCTAACTTTAATTTTGGTCAGAAGTCTCCTGACCAACTCTAATTTTCCTCTCCTCTACAGAGCTAACCACTATTACCAGTTTGATGTTCTACATCTGCTTCTGAATGGCTAATATTCTCATTAGCCATTGTGACTCCTCAGTCAAAACAGCATGGTACTGGCATAAAAACAGACATACTGGTAAAGATGGATGGAACAGCATAGAGAGCCCAGAAATAAACCCACACCTTTATGGTCAATTAACCTATCTCAAATGAGGCAAGAGCATACAATGGAGTGAAGATACTCTATACAGTAAATGATGTTTGGAAATTGGACAGGTATATGCAAAAAATGAAACTGGACCATCTTCTTACACTATACACAAAATTAAACTCAAAATAAATTAAATACTTAAATGTTAGACTCAAAACCATAAAAATCCTAGAAGAAAATGTAGGCAGTAAAATCTAGGACATTTCTCTGAGCAATATTTTTTCTGATGTATCTTCTCGGGCAAGGGAAACAAAAGGAAAAATAAACAAATGTGACTACATCAAATTAGAAAGTTTTTGCACAACAAAGGAAACCACTAACAAAATGAAAAGGCAACCCACTGAATGGGAGATCATTATTCACCAATGATACATCAGATAAGGAGATAATATCCAAAATTTCAAAGAACTTATAAAACTCAGCACCAATTAAAAAATGGTGGAAGGACCTAAATAGACATGTCTCCAAAGAGGATTTAGAGATGGCCAACAGACATATGAAAAGATGATCAACATTACTAATCATCAGAGAAATGCAAATTAAAACCACAGTGAGATATCACCTCACACCTGACAGAATGGCTATCATCAATAAATCAACAAGTGCTGGCAAGAATGCAGAGAAAAGGGAACCCTTATGCACTGTTGGTGGGAATGCAGATTACTGTAGCCTATAGAAAACAGTATGGAGTTACCTCAAAAAATTAAAAATGGAACTGCCTTATGCCCCAGCAATTCTAATTCTGGGCATATATCCAAAGAAACCCAAAACACAGATTCAAAAAAATATATGCACTCTTACGTTCATTGCAGTGTTATTTACAGTAGCCAAAATATGGAAGCAGCCTCAGTTGCCCATCAGTAGATAAGTGGATAAAAAGGTTGTGGTACATTTACACAACGGAATACTACTCCACTGTAAAAAGGAAGGAAATCTAGCCCCGGCCAGTTTGGCTAAGTTGGTTGGGCATTGTCCTCTGCACCAAAGGGTTGCTGGTTCAATTTTCAGTCAGGGAACACAGGAAGCAGCCAATCAATGTTTCACTCTCACACTGATCTTTCTCTCCCTCTCCCTTTCTCTCTCTCTAAATATCAATAAAAATATTAAAAAGAAGAAGGAAATCTTACCTTTTGCAACAGTATGGAAGGAACTGTAGAGTATTATGCTAAATGAAATGAGCCAGTCAGAGAAAGACAAGTACCATAAGATTTCGCTTATATGTGGAATCTAATGAACAAAATAAACTAACATACAAAATAGAAACAGACTTATAGATTCAGAAAACAGACTGACAACTGTAAGAGGGGAGAGGTATTGGAGGATTGGGTGAAGAAGGTGAGGGATTAAGCAAAGAGAATACAAAACTCTTAGCCACAGACAACAGTATGGTGATTACCAGAGGGAAAGGTGGGTGGGAGGCTATAGCAAAGGGTAAAGGGGGGGGGGGGGTAAATGGGGATGGAGGGAGTCTTGACTTGGGGTGGTGAACACACAATATAATATACAGGTGATTATGGCATTGTACACCTGAAACCTATATCATTTTAGTAACCAATGTCATCCCACTAAATTAAAAAAAAAAGTGACTCTTAACTGCAGTCGTTAGGTTGGAAACTGAAGTATCATCAATGGCTGTCTGTTAGTTGTTGAAGTTATAGATTTCCACTCCCAGTTTCTGTTTCTGTTTATGAAGATTGAATTCAAGTTTCTTCTCCTATTTCATTAATTTTGCCTATCTGTTATTAATCTTGCCTCATCTACTCCAGTTCTTCTTATGGTTGTCCAAAAATTTAGGTTGAATCATATGAAATTACTGTTTTAAAAGTGCCGGGGGCCAGGGGTTCTCAAAGGTGTGGACGGAGTCGGCGAAGAATGAAGGACATGGAGACAGCGTTCAGATGATCAGCATAGCTCTCTTTAGTCTCCGTGGATCTTCCTGTGCCTGGCTGAGGCCACAGAGAAAGATCCAGAGGCAAGCTGAGCCTTTATTTTATAGTCAGAGGTAAACAAGGTAGTAGTTACCATAGTTACACGGTTCTTGTGAGTTTCACTTGTTTTGGCAGCACTTCCTGAACTTCCCTCAGCCCATTAGCTTTCAGAAAAGAAGGGAGCCTTATAAGGTCAAGCCTAATTATGCTAAGAGGACTGTGCCCTGTAAGCTGGGACTTGTTTGTGACTTTGCCAACAGGTCAGTCCGAGGCTTAACCCTATAGCTGCTCCCCACATAAAAGTACTTTGGACAATATGGGATTGCATATTTTAATATTCTTCTTGGTGTGGATTAAACCAAAACACCAGAGTTATGTAGAATATCACATAACTCCACAGGTCCCAACAATATTATTTTTTAAAAATATTGAGACTGATGATTTATAGTAAATGTATATAGTTATATTAGAGGCCCGGTGCACGGATTTGTGCACTGATGGGGATCCTAAGCCTGGCCTGCGCCCTCTCCCAATCCGGGACCCCTTGGGGGATGTCGGAGAGTTGGTTTCAGCCTGATCTCCACAGGCCAGGCCGAGGGACCCCACCGGTGCACGAATCCCTGG